ATGCTTGATTTTTTTCTTGGCGGCCACACTATCTTGATTGATTTACGTAAAGCAGCTAAAAATGCAAGATTACAGAGCCGCTATAAATAAAAAATTATTAAATGTTTAATAAATCAATGACTAGATGGCGGTAGTTTAACCATCAGAGAAATTTCTTAGAAGATACAATAGCATGGTACTGACGCGAGATTGTATTCGCTTCTGAATTTGTATTTGCTTTCGTGGCTTACGCGCTCCATCTGTCTATTTTTATAATCTGAGCCAATGTGCTCTTAAATGGGGAGGAGTTTTGTCTTGTGGATACCACTGTTTTTCTTGGTATTACTATTAACGCGAAACTTCAATGGGGCCCACATATGTAAAAATTAGCAAGCAGACTTAGTTCTGCATCATATGCGGTAAGAAAGATTACAAGTCTCACCAATGTTGAGACAGCCAGATTAGTTTATTTTAGTTACTTTCATAACGTGATTAGACATGGGCAATGTGTATCACTTAAAAGAAAAGATTGATATGTATCTTTTGATCACTTGGATATGTATCACTCTTTTATATCTTTATATCCTTATGTATCAGTAGATCAAGCTCGCTTTCACGACACGCATCGCATTACGTTGCGTTGCTCACTCAGCGTGGCTCGCTTCGCTCAAATCAATCCTATCAGTAAGAGTGATAGATAAGTACCTATAGAGCTGTTTGCATTTTGCTTGGTTATAACATTGTGTATCTTTCTGATATATTTGGCCGTTGTTTCTTTCTAGGTATCTATTTGTTAAAATTAAAGTTTTCCTATTTCTTAGACATGCAGGTTTCCTCACGATGTTTTCCTTCATCGCCGAGCACGTGGTAAATCAGCAGTTAAAATTGCAATTAACAATTTCATTGGTGCCGGCGGGGATCGAACCCGGGTTGCTTGCGTACTGTGAACTTTACAGCGAGCGCTGTTATTGTTATGATTGATAAATATTAATAGGCACTTATTCGAGAAATTAACTTAAATTTTTAGTTTAAAATAATAATTAAATTAATGATTAACCTAAATAACGTAGGTAGGGTAGGTATTGTTTGTATTAATTTGTAGAAAAAATATATTATATAGTTTCGGCTTTCGAAAAACATGCCTGCTGCGTTGGCTGTGTTTTAGCTACGAGAGGTACTGTGAGGAAGGTTACCACAATTTCCAGCGGGTACATTTAGCATGTTCGCACAATAAAGGCATTTTGCTTTTTTTTGGTTCTACTTCCTCAAAATGATTCCACACTGCGCTTCGTTTTCGTGAACTCATTTTTTTTTATTAATAAAACACTAACTACGCAAAATTATTTACACTTAAAATAAATGAAACATTCACTAACTGTACGTACATAATAAAAAACACTTTAAGCTATTTACACTGAATGTCTTATTTACCTACATTTAAATTAAACAGTCACTAATTGTACAAAACAACTTCAAATATTTTTCTATTCGATGCAATTAACGCAAACAATATTATTCTCGTTCCCAAACCGAGATTAAGGTTGAAGTAATGAAGCAAACTGATATATTTGTTTAATTTTGTAAATCACACATCTTTTTTCTACTTTTTTATGGATATAAACGACTATTAATTTCGATTATAAAACTTTCTTAAAAACTATGGTTTTATAACTGAAATTAGTTTGCATTGTTTAAAAAATTTATAGGCAAAGTACACATAGGTACAGTTCAAACCAGTATAATACTTAAATGTTAACGTACCGCTTAATGACTTTAAGCCCTATGCACCAGTCATAGAGTTATCAATTTACCTTTTTGTGCTAACGTATTACAGTTTATAATGGTCAAACAACTCACTCTCTCCGTTTTGCCGAAGCGCGACAGAATATTGTAAATACTGCGAAAGACACGTCTGTACTATGGACTTTCCGAAATCTTCCTGGAACGACCGGCCGTGCCGGCCGAGGTATAATAGAAAGCAGTGTGCCCAATGTGCGACACAGATGTTAGAAAAAGTTAAAAGATGTCTTGAGTGAATAAGTTGTAAAGATATACTGATACAGTGATACATTCGGATGCGGATGGATATAAAGAGTGATTGATGGAAACGGATTGATTCATATCTTTTGTATCTATCTCTCCTGAGTTACCCATCTCTAAACGTGATGTCTTATGGAATTTTGCTATGGGGTAATGCGACTGACATCGAAGCTATATTTGATTTGCAAAAGTGAGAAAGCGAATCATAACTTAAATTATAATGAGTTTCTTAGAGAAAAACTTAAAGAAATAAACATATTAACTTTGGCATCGCAATATATTTATGAAAATGTAATGTATGTACAATAAAACATAAATAGCTTTGATAAGAATAAAGATGTTCATACTTTAAACACTAGGTACAAACATAAGCTTGTAATACCAGTTACTAGACGCCACAGAATCAGTAATTCATTTATGGGGCAATGTATACTCTTTTACAACAAAATCCCAGAAAATGTACAAAATTTGTCAATAAATAAGTTTAAAAATTGTACAAAAAGGGTTATTATAATATCAATGAATACATAAGTGAAAAAAACGCCTGGGAATATGAGGTGATCAACACCATGTTTTTTCTGTGTATTTAAAATTTGTACAAACAAAAAAACAAAATTATTGTAAAAGGTAAAGTGAAATATGTTTAATAAAAAGTCCCGCTGGATATCTTGCTGGTTCTTCCCGGGACAGAGGTATTTTCCGAACCAGTGGTAAATAAAAAAATGACTTCCAATAAGTATTATGTATTTTACTAATCTATATTGAATAAAAATTATTCTATTCTATTCTATACTATCTGTGCAAAAAAGTATAAATAAATAAAAAGCTCATTACGGTCATTTTTATCCATTTAAATTTTAAATAAAATTTATCAAAATATCCTGTCATAATAATTTCAATACATTATTTACCGTCAAATTTAAAATATAAGGACAAACATTCAGAACCGAAACAATTATTTGTAGGATATACAAATAATTGTTCCGTGCGGGTTTTGAACCCGCGGCCCTTAGCGATCCAACTCGTTGCTAAGCCCCTGAGCCACGAAGCCGTCAAAAATTAATAATTTTACATTCATAAAAATATATAAAAATACTAGCTGACTAGGCCTAGGTAGACGTTGTTCTGCACTCTCCGACGACCCTGTGTCCTATAAAAATTCTTAAATTCGTAATAAAAAATATTGAAGGTCACTTACCGGGATAAAAAGTATCCTATTTCTCAAGTTGGACCAAGCTGCACACAGTGTGCAAAATTTCATTGCAATCAGTTTAGTAGTTTAGGAGTTCATCGCGGACAAACAATGTAACACGTAATTTTTATATATAACGATATTAATACATACCTTTTTAGTTCTGGCCTTTATATTCGAACATTGCTAGACAGAAAAAAATGGTGTCAATTTTGACATATTCTATTTATTAGTTTCTTAGGTTAATCCTGTTTTTATATTTATATTATTATTTAATATTTTCCAAGTAACAACAAAGTAATACACCTATTGAAGGTTTTTTTTATTCAAATTTCATAATGTGTGACGTAAGTTAACTTCTTATGTATGTTAGGATTAGTTTGCGCTTTCAGTTAACTATAACGAATCTACATGAGGTTGCTGTTACATTGTGTCGTACATACAAAAATTGTTCTCCCTGGATATTTTCTACAGACTTCAAAAAGGAGCCGGTACTCAATTCGACTTCAATATAAATTATTAAGAATAACTCCAAAACTATTGGTCAGACCTCGATTAAATTTATATGGCACCACATGGGAAGCACCAGCTTTCAAATAAAAAAAGAATCATCGAAATCGGTTCACCCATTAAGAAGTTATGAGGTAACACACATAAAAAAAAACATTCTTCATCACCCCTTCAAAACCCACTGCTGGATAACGGCCACTACCGTTATAGAAAAGAATTGCCCTTATCGTCACGCTGACAGGTGGATGGACGATCGCAGTACGTGACGTCTCACATCTTCGCTGCTGTTCTCCATTGTCGGTCTGGATATTTTACGTGCGTTACAGATGGTTAAGTATATTGCCATATTTTGGAAGCTTTTTTTATATAGGATAAGGTTGACAAACGAGCACACAGACCACCTGATGGTAAGTGGTTGCTGCGGCCCATAGACATCTACATCTATCCTCTATTACAAATCAAAATGCAGATGCGTTGTCACCCGTGAGGACTAAGATGGAATGCCTCATTTCCAGTAAAAAGGGCCTCCGGCCACGTGCACTCACCAAGCGAAACGCCTACCTACCTACGAGGTACCTCTACTTCACGCTGGTATTCTGTGAGGTCGTAGTACTGCCCCGGTTCGAGCCGGCCCATCCGTGCGACAGCAATAGATGCCGCGTGGCTCTACCACGTAGAAAAGCTATAAGTTAAAAAAAAAAACAACTACATGGTATTGTTAGTTTTATAATTATAACTTTTAACAAAAAGTCAAAACCGACTTCAAATTGCTGAAAAAGTAGTTATTTATTTGCTTTACTTAGGCGTGGAATTTTTACTCCAAATTTATATGGGTAGTCCCTTGAAGTATAACCTATGTAATAATAAAAGAATCATTAAAATCGGTTCTCAATCTGCGAAGATATAATATTTAATTCCTTAAACAATAGTTTAATATGAAACTTTTCCCTATTTTACACCCTTGGGCGCGGAAGTTTTTCTTTAAAATGTAATGGGACCAGCCTTGAGGTAAAGCCTATTTGTTAAAACAGAATCATTAAAATCGGTTCATAATCTGCGAAGACATTACGTAACATACATACAAAAAAATGAACATACACTCGAATTGAGAAGCCCATTCTTTTTGAAGTCTCTTAAAAATTGTATTTTATTTCATGAATAGATTTTTCATACACCTTCTGCACTACGCAGAAGGTTGCATCATGAAAAAAAGAATTGTTTTTAAATATAGACATTAGTCTCATGATACAATTAACAAATGTTAAAATATGTATTTTAGATTCCTGAATATGTGGCGACAGTAGTGCTACCAAAATTGATAACAAAAACTGAATCCATTGATTTGAACGTACGACACGGCGCTATTCTTGGGATCGGAGAAGCTATTTTAGCTCTATCACAGACAAAATTAGCTGATGGTAAGTAAATGGGTTTAAAAAAAAAATTACTATGACTATTGTCATCAGAGATTTTTAAGTGTTAGTGACATGTTATTACTTGATATATGAAAACAACACACAGAATACTGGTGTAAAGTATATATAGCTAGCATATTGTTACCAAGGACCTAACTTTTGGAATGAGCAATTTCACTTGTTCTCAAAGATAATGTATGTACTATTTGTATATGAACAATATACCAAACAGGGCTAAGGGCACAAATGCAGCCCTGTGGGATTCTAACGTTGAACGATTAACGGAAAACGTTAAACTGTTTATATGTGTTGCCGTTGAAGACTATGTCCTACATTCCTGGTGGACAGATTTGATTAGAATAAAAAGTTTAGGCGAGCACCAAATGTTCTCCAGCTTGTACACAGGCCCTTCCTGCTGACCGTATCCGAAGGCTTTATGTCAACGAAATCCGCGAACAAAGGGGTTTCTTGTTCTCGGCACTTCGAATAAAATCGAATTATAAATTATATATCTTAATTTAAAACACATATTTTCAGAAGAATTAAATTTATTTATACCATTACTAAATATAACATGACAAAATGGTATGCTCCGCAATGAATTCACGATAATTACGAATATAATTTACTAGACATACTAATGAAATATTAAGAAGTTTTTTAATATTAAATATTGAAACTAACTTTTATTTACTCGTGACTTTTTATTTAAGAGTTATAATCTAACCTAACCTAGTAATAAAAATGCTTTAAAATACTTCCTCGTTGTGTTCACCTATACCGTGTCACCTATACGTAGTGAGCGCTATGAAAAATAAAGTATTATTTTTTATAGTATAAGGCTGACAAACGAGCACACAGTCCACCTGATGGTAAGAGGTTGCTGCGGCCCATAGACATCTACATCTATCCTCTATTACAAATCAAAATGTAGATGCGTTGTCACCCGTGAGGACTAAGATGGAATGCCTCATTTCCAGTAAAAAGGGCCTATGCAAAATTTATTTCGAGCAAATGAGATATACCCCCTTTTTGTTTTGTTGAGTTCCAGCTAGTGTTGTATCTAAGCAAGAATCCGATAGGTGGCGCTGTAGTCAAGTTTTTTTTAAACTTCTGTATTTATGGACCAAAATGACTCCTATTCACATCATGTTAGTATTTAATGCCAAAATAGGGTATCGAGAACTTTTTTTCAAATTAGAATTTTGAAATTGCTAGTTGATAAAAAAAAACCAAACTAATTAAATATAATAAACTCTTCAAAATAAGAAGGTATACTGACTGTAGAATTAAAAGTGCAACTATCATAACTCTAGAATACAACAACTAACACTAGAATATGAGCAGGAAAGAGAGTACACATAACACGCTTAGCCAAAACAGGTAAACTAAATGTTTCCAAAATGAAAAAGTATATGGGATGAGTGGAAGACAATGTTTGTATTCTATTAATGAGTATTAATCCTCCTCATACCTCGTAAACTCATAATAATATTAAAGTAAAAATGTCCTAAAGACTACCTCAAGAAAAGCTACTTCTCATTATGTCCATATTTTAATACTGTTTACAACATGTATATATAATTATTATTTTATTTATAATTTCATTTATTTTGTAAAAGTAACTAGCATTGTTATCAACATTACTAATATTCTGGTTTACCAAACTAGTTAATCTTAAAATGCTTATGTTGGGAGTCGTTTACACAAGCATTTAAAATTTAATTTTATATAATATGTACCTATTTTGAATTATTTAAATACGTGGTAGAGCCACGCTGCAGCTATATTATGGTTGTAGCACAAATGGGTTGACTTGACCCCAAAAGAATTCCAGTGTATAATTGCAGTGTAATGCTGCTGTGATTAGTATGGTAAGTGTAGAGAAACGGAGGCTTTTTTTACTAGAAACGAAGCATTCCTCCTCAGTGGTTGGTTACAACAAAGTACTCAGAGATTACAACGCATCCGCATTTAGATTCTTCTCGAGTATAGATGTAGATGTCTATGGGCCACAGCTTTCAATGAGGGCATCCACCAGGGCGGCGCCACTTTACAGTGAGGTATAATATTTGACAGATTTCATAGCGGGGACGATGATTTCTTAGGGAAATGTAAACTTTAAGGTCTCTTTCCGTATTATTAGTTACAATTTATATTGATTAGATTAGAAATGAATAATCCAAACTATAAATATAACTAAAAGTAGAAAAATTAAAAAACGAGTTATAAAGTGCAAAAAATTAAAAATCAAACCACTGACACTTTGTGTTGTTTATTAATATAATACTCTATTATAATGATATACTATTATTTAAAACTAATTTCTCATTTAACTGACACTCGTGTAACAAAAATCTTTACCTCAGTCACAACTAGCGACATCTGGTGAGTGGAAGATTATTAGCCCTCATTACCATCAGGTGGACTGTGTGTTCGTTTGTCGATAGTCGGAAACGCGTGTACGTTTATCCACCCCAGACAGGGTGGATAATCGGAATTCGTATATTATTTTTCTTTCGAATTTCTCCCTAGGCTGTGTACAGTCGTTTATTAAATATGATAGAAACTGGGCTAAGATTACTTAGTAGACATTAGCATACTTATAATAATTTAAAATTAAAAATTTTGTACAGCCGACTTCAATATAAGTTATTTAAGAATAACTTAAAAACTATTGGTCTGACCTTGATCAAATTCATATGGGACCACACGAGAAGTACCAGCTTTCAAATAAAAAAAGAATCATCGAAATCGGTTCACCCAGAAAAAAGTTCTGAGGTAACACACATAAAAAAAAAAAAAAAACGAAAAAAAAAAAACATACAGTCGAATTGAGTACCGGCTCCTTTTTGGAAGTCGGCAGAAAATTATTGTAGCCACGAGAACTGCTACCGAAAAGCTGTTACATAGTTTGGCAGATTGTAATATTGCAAGAAATTATTTACGTAGGGTTGAAAATAAATTAAAAATAATATACTGTTATAGACAGAAAATCAGAATGGATTAGTAAAAAAAATGTTGACAAATGAGTTAATTTCATCAGGCAGAAAGGCAGAAAGTGCTATATCGGAGGAGGTGTGGCGGGCGGTGCGCGAGCTGGTGGACAGGCTGCGCGCGCGGCAGCAGTTGCGCGGGCTGGGCGGCGAGCTCATGCGCCAGGCGTGCTGCCACTGCGTCGCGCTGCTGTCGCGTGCCGCCGCGCCGCTGCACGCGCACCCGCACGTCACCGGTACGTAGCGTCAGCGTGTCAAACAAAATGGTCGCTACGTTTGTCTCGAAAAAGAGGTACGTTGCTACAATTCCTTTACAGGAACGCAGAAAAGTTACCGCTGAGTGGTATATCAAGGTTTGTTTGCCAGAAATGATAGCCGAACTCTGAAAAAACCCGTAACGTCGCACCATTTTACATCACGATAATGCGAGCTCCCATACGGCTCGGAAGACAAATGATTTTTTGAAGCAGGAAAACGTTGAGCTGATAAGCCATCCTCCGTACAATCCTGACCTGAGCCCAAACGATTTCTTTACATTCCCTAGAATGAATGATTTATTACGCGGTCAACGGTTTGAAAACCCCGAAGCAGCTATGAAAAGCATGCAGTGTACGCTGCACGCTTTTCACAACTTCAGCGTACAAATCAGCCATTTTGTCAACATCAACTTCAGAATGGAATTACTGTTTTAATGATTGGTGTACACGAATGGAAAAGTGCATTAAGTTGAATGGAGAATACTTCGAAAAACAATAAAATGCAATTTAGCTATACCGTGCGTGTGATTTTTCTTATTCCCGATCATTTCAGCGTGCCCCTCGTACAGCAAAGGAGGGGAATAATTTGCTGGCGTCCTTTATTTTCCGACATCACACGGAGCTTGTTATAAATTCAGTAAAATAAAATTTTTGTGTATCGTATGTTAAGTATCGGTAATAATGCAAAATTTTTGTTTCAAATTTCAGTGTTTGTAATAATACAACAATACATTCCCCTTTTTTTTCAGACGAATGGCTTAACCTAATCGAGGAGTGCCTCACTCACGAAGTTCAAGTGATACGTGAGAAGGCAATCAAGGCACTGCCGCTATTGTTCGACCAGTACTTGCGCGACGACACTTGCATGTATGGCGACATAACGGCCAAGCAGAAACGCGCACAACTTATGGAGAAGTACTGCGAACAGCTGGGATGCACTGGCGTTAATGGACTTGTAATTAGAATGGGATATGCACGGGCTGTAGGTAAGATAATATTCTTCTCGAAAAATTCCAAATGTGTCGGACCTAAGTCCAGCAACTGACTGTTACGAGTCGATAAAGAAAAAGATGTGTAAATGAGTTTCTGTTAAGAATTTTTACTTGAGTTCAATCAATATTGAAATTAAGGTTATTTTTAATAGATTTTGGCTACGACTCACATATTAAAATAAATAATTTTAAATTTAATGATCGTTTTTACAGGTTCTCTACCCAAATTCGTGCTAGCCGAACATCTTCCGCTAGTTATTAAATCACTCATCGAATGTACTAAAGTGACTGAAGCGACATCTAAGTGGGCGGAGTCTAGACGTGACGCTGTTATAGGATTGACTGAAGTTTGTCAGACTCTGGGAATTGTAGGAGGAGTGGAAAAGTATCTCGAAGAAATCGTGGATGCCTTACTAGACTGCATGTCGGAATATACAATTGATATGAGAGGCGATATAGGCGCTTGGGTGCGAGAAGCTAGCATGACCGGTACGTATCAATAGAACTTTAAATTACTGTGAAATCTAGCAACTTTGCCATTTTTGAAAGGACTTAAAAGCTTAGGATCAATTTTCCAACATGAAGGTACTCTCATTTTGGGCGTTAATGATAAAAGTGAGACTATATTCTTTATACATTTGGTATTTATTAGTGATTTAAACAAATACTAGTACAGGAGGAATCGGCGCATAAATGCCGAAAACTATTCAACTTCAATTTTTTATGCGATTCTGCTGAAATTGATCTACTAATGATATGAATGCGTGTTGCCATGGGGCAACTTGGTGTCATACTTGTATTGTTTAAACCAATTTTTTTCAATTGTAAGGAATGATTATTTTCAAACGATACAATTTATTTTTTAATATTCTTTAATGAAATACTAATAAAAAAGGTACAATAATTTTTTGCGATAAAGTTAATATTTTCGGAGTTATGAACTTTAAAGTTTTGAAACTCCATTCGAAAAATTGAAAAAAAATTTGAAAGGTCATTAAAAATATATAAAGAAAAGGAATAAAATATAAAAGATATATTTCTTTATTATTTTTTTTGTTAATTATTGAATTTGAATTTGTTATTATTCAATATTTTTGAATGTTTGAATAATAAGAAATTCAGATACTTTTGACTCGTTAAAAATATATGTATAAATTAGCTGTTCCCCGCGACTTCGCCCGCGTGTAATTTAGGATTTTAATTTTGTTGCGCGGAACCCTAGTTATTTAAAAAAAATATAAGTAGCCTAAATTACTCTTTATAACATCACTTATCTACCAATGAAAGTCCCGTCAAAATCGGTCCAGCCGTTTCGGAGATTAGACGGAACAATCAGACAGACAGACAAAAATTTTAAAAATTGTGTTTTTGTTATACATAGGCTGCACTAAAAGTATCGGGAATGGAATATTTCCACTGTTCCTGTCATATTAAAATCTTTTTAATTGAAAAGTCCTTGGTTTTAAAAATCGAATACCATTTATTTATTTAAATAAAGATTCTCGGTCTTGTCACAAGGTTTTGTCAAACTTGTTTAGTCGTTGAGAAAATGGAATTGACTCGAGAAAATTCAACAGCGATGATTTATTATAACTTTCGAAGTGGTTTAACACAAAAACAGTGTGTTGACCGGATGATTTCTGCATTTGGTGATGAAACCCCATCCAAAACCACAATTTATCGCTGGTTTGCTGAATTTCAACGTGGACATGTCAAGCTCAGTGATGATCCCCGTCAAGGTCGTCCAAAAACTGCAGTCACCCAAGAAAACGTTGATGCTGTGCGTAAGCTGATTGAGGAAGATCGACATGTGACATACCGCGAAATTCAGGCAACTTTAGACATTGGCATGAGTCAAATATAAATAATCTTGCATGAACAATTAAGTGTAAAAAAGTTGTTTTCCCGATGGATACCGCATTCGCTCTGTGAAGAGCAAAAAGCGGCTCGCGTTACTTGATGCGTCAGAACTCTTGAAAGATTCCACTCAGGATCCTCAAATGCTGTATACAACATCGTATCAGGTAACGAATCCTGGATATACGCGTACGAACCCGAAACAAAAAACCAGTCACGAGTTTGGGTGTTCGAAAATGAGTTAAAGCCAACAACAATTGTTCGTTCACGGAGTGTTGCAAAAAAAATGGTGGCCACGTTTGTCTCCAAACCGGCCATGTTACGACTATTCCTCTTGAGGGACAAAGAAGAGTTAATGCAGAATGGTATGCTAGCATTTGTTTGCCACAGGTCGTTTCTGAACTCCGTAAAGAGAACTGCAACCGCCGCATCATCCTCCATCACGACAATGCGAGTTCTCACACCGCACACAGAACAAAAGAGTTTTTAGAGCAAGAAAACAGAATTATTAGACCATCCGCCGTACAGCCCCGACCTAAGCCCTAATGATTTCTATACTTTCCCTAAAATAAAGAATAAATTGCGTGGACAGAGATTTTCATCACCTGAAGAAGCTGTGGACGCCTACAAAACGGCCATTTTGAAGACCCCAACTTCCGAATGGAATGGTTGCTTCAATTATTGGTTCCATCGTATGGAAAAATGTGTCGAATTTCGCGGAGAATACTTCGAAAAGCAATAAATACATTTTTAAATAGTAATGCCTTGTGGGAATCAAGGAAGTGACACACACTTCCTTGATTCCCGAAATTTTCAGTGCCGCCCTCGTAGGTACCGTATATACTTTTCTATGCAATTAGTAAAAAGCAGTTATTTTCACATTACAGACACTTCAATTTCATTTATTTGTATAGATAAAAAGAATAAAATATAATAGATATTTTTTATATTCTTTAGACAATAGTTAATAATATCCTTAAGGTAGAAGGTCCAGGGTGGCTCGCGAAATTCAAATTTTCTTGCGTTTTTTGGAATTTGCTGGTCAGGGTTAGGTTGTATATTTAACAAAATATGATTCGCGACCGTAGCGATTATATCAGATCATGCAGAATTATTATCATTAAAATCACCAATACAACGCTTTAAGTTCATATTAGCCCTTTGAATGAGTTTTTGTGGAAAACGCAAGAAAATTTAAATTTCGTGGGCCACCCTGGAGCTTCCACCTTAAGTATATATTTACGTTCCAAGCGCTGATTAGCTCAAAACAGTACTTTTCAAAGCTATTAATATCCATCAACCGCTTATTTTACACAAATGTTAATGACTCATAACTTAAGAAAATTTTATGGTGTAAATAGTTCTAAGAGAATAGTTTTTATATTAATACAGCGTTTCTGGATGCTATCAAGAAAACTAAAGAGAGGTTACTTTAATTTCCCTTTTAGAGGCAATTTAAAAAAATTGCAAAAGCTGGTGTCACTGATGTACTTTCGTGAACAGCGCTTTGATGTGACAACAAAAACGGTTGTACGTGCTTGTCCCAGTCTTGTCACTAATTTTCCACAACTTTTGCTAGGTACCTCTCCAATGTCCGATTAAATCGTTCTACCATTCCATCAGATTGTGGGTGGTAAGAAGTTGTTCTTGTTTTATGAGTAACCATAACTTTTTAACGGTGGTAGAGCCACGCAGCAGTTTTTGCTGTTGCATGTATGGGCCGGCTCGAGCCGGGTTGGTACCACGACCTCACAGAATACCGGCGTGAAGTAGAAGCTTTGCTTCTGCGTTTCGTCTGGTGAGTGCAGGTGGCCGGAGGCCCAATTCCCCCCCCCCCCCCCCCCCATTAACATGGTAGCGGAATTACACGAAGAACTACCCCAGGAGGGTACCAGCACCCCTGGAGAATCCCTCGCTGAGCATCCACGACCATGTTATTCCGATCCTGAGCGTGGGTGCTCAGGCTGCCCCGCGTATTCGGGGGGGGGGGGGGCAAAATTCCGCTCAAAAGCATTACTGCTAGGGGCAAACTGAGCAAGAACACCAAGGCGACCCCTGCCACGCTATCCGTGAATTTCTGCAACATCAGGGGACTTCACTCTAACCTAAACGCCGTCCACTACCACCTCGAGACGGCGAAGCCGGCCTTGCTCTTTCTGACCGAGACGCAGGTTTCCTCTCCGGCTGATATTTCGTATCTCTCCTACCCGGGGTACAAATTGGAGCATTCCTTTGTGCCTCGGGCTGGAGTTTGCGTGTATGTCAGAGAGGACATCTGTTCTCGACGCCTCGGCAGTCTTGAAGGTTCGGACCTGTCCATCCTTTGGCTACGCGTAGACAGCGACGACCATCCGCGCGTCTACGGGTGCCTCTATAGGTCCCATAGCGGTAATGCCGAAACAGACCGACTCATCGACCACGTCCAAATGGCTACAGACTTCTTGCTACAACAGGTCCCATCCGCAGAGATCGTGATCCTTGGCGATTTTAACGCCCACCATGCCGAATGGCTCGGTTCACGTCTAACCGATCATGCGGGGAGATCTGTTTATGACTTTGCCTTGGCATATGGTCTGACACAACTGGTTACTTCGCCTACGCGGATTCCAGATGTGGAGGATCATACACCTTCCCTGTTGGACCTTCTGCTGACCTCTCATCCGGACGGATATCAGGTTTCCGTCGATGCCCCTCTCGGCTCTTCGGACCATTGTCTGATCCGGAGTGTGATGCCATTCACGCTCCCCTCGCGGTTGAGTTCTGCAGGTTGCCGCCGTGTTTGGCATTACAGGTGGACGGATTGGGACGGAATGCGGTCTTTCTTTGCATCCTACCCATGGGGGCGGGTTTGCTTCTCTGACTCTGTCACTGATGTGGTGCTACAGGGAATGGAACTATTTATTCCATCATCTGTGATACCCATCGGAGGAAGATCTCAGCCTTGGTTTGGTCGCCCCTGTAAGACTGCATTACGCAGTAAGCAGTAGTGTTATCAAGCCTGAGCCGCGGCTTCGGCGACTCGGGATGTAAACACCAACACACTTAAAAAGAAGTATAACTTCGCCTCCAGGTCCTTCAAAAGAGTTATTGCCAAGGCAAAGTCAGAGCACATAGGCAGAATTGGCGAGAAACTAGTTCGCCCTCCTTTGGAAATCTGTGCATTGTGGTCTCCCGCCAAGCCTGTAAGCCAAGGGAATTTCTGTAAGCCATCACTACCATCTCTGCACAGGGAGGACGACTCACTGGCCCAAGCCGCAAAAGACAATGCCGACTTTTTAGGCTCCCTTTTTGCGTCCAAGTCGACTCTTGATGACGGGGGGAAAACACCGCCGACCATCCCGCGGTGTGAGTGCTCCATGCCGGATGTGCTGTTCTCACAGCGCTCGATTCGCAAAGCACTCCTCTACATGGACATCCAGAAGTCGAGTGGGCCTGACGGAATCCCCCCAATTGTGCTGAGGACGTGTGCTCCGGAGTTGGCACCGGTCCTAACGCGTCTTTTCCGGTACTCCAACTCCCAAGGCGTAGTCCCTACTTCATGGAAGACAGCTTTTGTCCACCCGATCCCTAAAAAGGCGACCGCTCAGACCCGTCCAACTACAGGCCTATCGCCATCACCTTGCTCTCCAAAA